GACGGCCAGTGCCACCCGTCGCCCGCCCGCCGCGCTGCACGCCCCGAGCCATGCCCAGCACTCCCCCCCGACCCCACATCAACACCACCCCAGCACCCGCGTGCCTCCCTCCTACCCGTGGCTGCAGGTGTGGGACATGGTGATTGTGGGGGCGGGCGTGGCGGGCGCGGCATTTGCCTACCAGCAGGGCTGCTCAGGGCGGCGTGTGCTGCTGCTCGAGCGAGACCTCTCGCAGCCAGACCGCATTGTGGGGGAGCTGCTGCAGCCGGGAGGCTACCTGCTGCTCAAGCGGCTGGGCCTGGCGCACTGCTGCGACGGAATCGACGCGCAAAAGGCGGGTGCAGGGGCCGGGCCGGGGTTTGGGCGGCGGGGGGCGGGCCGGGTGATGCGCCTGGAAGCTGGCCCGGGCAGGGCTGGGCGGCTGGGGCGGTCTGGTGGCGGGCCTGCCTGCATGTGTGTGTGCTTGCTGGCGCAGCTGGCGGCCGGGCCGGCGCCGCGGGTGCGCAGCTGGCCAGCGGCTGCCGGCACGCGGTTGCTTGGCAGCAGCGGACCAAGCACGGGGGTCGCTCCGCGCATCCCGACCCGCACCCCCGGGCCTGCCCTGCCTCGCCCACTACGTTACTGCCCGTGCCGCCGCCGCCGCCGCCCCCTGCAGGTGCACGGCTACTGCATGTTCAAGGAGGGGCGGGAGGCCAAGGTGGCGTACCCCACAGAAGGCATGGGCGATGACGTGGCGGGGCGCTCCTTCCACCACGGCAGGCGTGTGGGCGGGGCGGGGGCCGGAGGCTGGCTGGCTGGCCGGCCGGCTGGAATGGCTGGACTGAATGGAATGGATGGGCTGGATGGGCCGAGGGGCGCTGCTCGCATGCTCGCATGAACGAGCGGCGCTGGCTGATGGGCGGCCCGGCTGGCGGGCCGGGCACCCCAGAGCCGAGCAGCTGCACGGCAGGTTGGCGGGGAACTCTGGTGGCACGTGGCAGAAAGGCGGCATGTGCAGGGTCGGCGTCGTCTGCGCATCCCCACGCCCCCCACCGCCGCGGCCGGCCCACCCCCGCCTGCAGGTTTGTCCAGAACCTGCGCCAGGCGGCGGCCAGCCAGCCCACCGTGACGGTGCGCCAGGGCTACGTGCGTCGGCTGCTCAACGGTGAGGAAAGCGCGGGCTGGGGACCTGGAGGGCTGGGGGCCTGGAGGGCTGCAGCCCTGGCAGGGGTGTGGGCAGGCCCTGCCGGATGGCGCCCCTGCAGCAGATGCAGTCCAGAGGTGGCAGCTGCGGGCCGCCCCCCCTCGCCTGGCCGCGTCTGCAAACGCGACCTCTAGCAGCCGCCGCCTCCGGCCGCCGCCTCCAGCCGCCGACACCAGCTGTGCATGGCAGCGCCTGCGCCTGCACACTCACCTGCGCGTGTCCGCGGCCCCCCTACCTGGCCTGCAGAGGACAGCGGGGAGTGGGAGGAGGGGCAGGCGGTGACGGGAGTGTGCTACAAGGGCGGCGACGGGCAGGACCACGACGCGCACGCACACCTGACGGTGGGTGGAAAGAAGGCATGGGATGGGGGAACAAACACGGGCGGGCGCCAGCTGGGCCGGCGTCGCCGCCAGCCCCCCAGCCAGCTGGGGGGACGCCAGCCGGCCTTGGGCGTGCCGGGCCGATGCACGGCCGCCGGCCGCCGGCAGGGATGGCGGGCCGGCAGCCTGCACGGCGCTGCCCTCCCCGCCACCCGCCTCACCGCCCACCAACCCACCGCCTCTCCTCCGCCTTCCCCTGCTCCCCGCCCGGCGCTCCCCACCCACAGATTGTGTGCGACGGCATGTACAGCTCCTTCCGCCGCAAGCTGGCGGTGCCCGACGTGCACCACCCCTCCTTCTTCATCGGCCTGCTGCTCAAGGTGGGTGGGGCGGGTGTGGTGTGTGTGTGTGGCTGTGTGTGTGTGTTAGCATGTGTGTGTGCGTGTGGTGATGGTGGGGAGGGAGCCGGGCGAGGGACGCTAAGATTCGGCAGCGGGCCTGCCTCTGCTCTCCATCTGCCCTGCCCCCAGTGCTGCCCCCCACCCCCACCCACCTCCCCCTTCGCCACTCCTGCTCTCCGCCGAGCCTCTGCCTGCCTGCCCCCTTTCTCGTACCCTCCCGCTGAGCTCCAGCCTGCCTCCCCACCCTGCCCGCCTCTCGCAGGACTGCCCGCTGCCATACAGCAACTACGGCCACGTCATCCTGGGCAAGCCCTCCCCCGTCCTCTTCTACCCCATCTCCGCCACAGAGGTGGGCAGCCGACGGCGGCTGCGAGCGCAGGCGGGCCTGGGTTCAGCGCCACTCGCTGCTGCTGTTGCGGGGGCGGCCGGTTGAAGCGGGTGTGCGCCGGCCGACCGGTCCAGCTGCTGCCGCCCTGTGCTGGCCCCACTCCTGTGCTGACCGCTCGCCTTCTTGCTTTCCTCCCTCCCCGCGGCTGCCACCTTCCCGGCAGGTGCGGTGCCTGGTGGACTACCCCGGCGAGAAGCTGCCCAGCGTGTCCAGCGGGGAGCTGGAGTGGTACCTTCTGGATACCGTGGCACCACAGGTACCGCTCTCTACCATAGCATGCACCGCACTGCGGCGCCGCGGGTGTCGCTCCGACGGGGGGTGCGCTGCTTCAAGGGCCCGGGTACCGGGCGGCCGGCCTGTCAGCAGGCCGCTGCGCCCTCGGCTGCGGCCCCCGGGGGGCCTCACGCCAGCTGAGTGCTGGTACCGCTGGCCCTCCGCCGCCGCCTGCCCCCGCAGGTGCCGCCGCAGCTGCGCACCGCCTTTGAGGCCGCGGTCAAGCACGGCCGCATCCGGTGCATGCAGAACAAGCAGGTCACCAGCCAGCCGCTGCACCCGGCGGGGGCGCTGATGCTGGGGGACGCCTTCAACATGCGCCACCCGCTGACAGGTGGGCTAGCGGCGGGGGTGGCGGGCTGGCGACGGGGAGTGCGGTGCTGTTGCCTCCAGCGTCGGGGGGTGCTGACGTGGCGCCAGCCCAACGCCCTCTGCCCCTCTCTAACTTGGAGGGTACCTCCGCCTGGCCTGCCTGACTGACACTGGCCGAAGCGACAACACGCCTCCCCTCCCCTCCACCCACCTGCGCCCCTCCCAACCCTCCCATGTCGTGCCCCCAACCCAGCGCCCCCCTGCCGCCTGCCGCTGCCCCGCAGGCGGCGGCATGACGGTCGCCTTCTCAGACACCAACCTGCTGTGCGACATGCTGCGCCCGCTGCCCACCTTTGCCAACAAGCTGGCCACCTCGCGCGCCACCTCCACATTCTACGTGCGCCGCAAGCCCGTGTCCGCCACCATCAACACCCTGGCCAACGCGCTGTACAAGGTGGGCCGGTGGCGGTACCGCAGCGGTGGTACCATGGCGACGGTACTGCAGCGGTGCATGGCGGCGGTGCACGGTTTCGCTTCTGGTGGTGGTGGAGTGCTGCGGCGCGGCAGGGAGGCACGGAAGGAGGGGTGGAGGGGTTATGGCCAGCCGCGCCCTGCCCTGGCGTACGTACCTTCATCGCGACGGCAAGCGTGCCGACTACACTGCTGCCTCCGCCGCCCGCAGGTGTTCTGCGCCAGCGACAGCCGAGCGCACGAGGAGATGCGGCAGGCGTGCTTTGATTACCTGGCCCTGGGGGGCATGTACTCAAGTGAGGGCCCGCCTGCCTGGCCATGCCTGCCTGCCCGCCTGCCTTGCTAGGTAGCCGCGTGGCCAGCGCGAGCCCCGCTGCCTGCGCCGCTGCGCTGGTCGCACCGCTGCGCTCGCTTCGCACCCCGCCGTGCTCCTGCCCCCCCCACCCCCCTGACCCCGCCGTGCCTGCCCCTGCCTCCTGCTCTGCCCTCTCCCCACCCCGCACACATTCGCAGCGGGCCCCGTGTCGCTGCTGTCAGGCCTCAACCCGCGCCCCTCGGTGCTGGTCATGCACTTCTTCATGGTCGCCCTGTACGGCGTGGGCAGGTGGGGCCCTCCCCTGTGTGTGTGTGTGTGTGTGTGTGTGTGTGACACACAGTGTTGCAGATGCCCAGCTGGTCAGGTTGCGAACACTGCCTTGCATCTGCGGCACGGCCCTCCCTCCTGCGTTCTATACTGGGAGGCGTGTGGGTGTTGCCAGCCGTGCCATACATGGGCAGCACAGGCAGCTTGCGGTGGGCCTCTGTGGTTTTGAGCTTGCAGCGGGCGTGCGGCAGGATAGGGTGGCAGAGCAGCGCGTCTGGCAGTGTGTGAGGCCTGCCGTAGGGGCTACCCAGGCTCCCTGGCTGAGCCCGGCGCCTGCCTGCCGCCCCCGCTGCGCAGGCTGCTGTGGCCGCGGCCCACGCTGCGCGGCGTGTGGCTGGGCGTGCTGCTGCTCTACTCGGCCGCCTGCATCATCCTGCCCATCATCTGGAAGGGTAGGTGGCGCGGGTGCGGGCTGGCGGCACACGCAGCGCCTGCTGCTGGAGCGTGTGGTGTGGCGGCACTGCCGCAGACGTTTGCTCCTGCCTGGGACCTGGCCTGCGGAGCCCCGGTTGCTCATGTGTGTCTGCCGTAACACTGCGTCCTGCAATTGCCGCTGCTGCCTGGCACCCGCAGAGGGCATCCGCGCCGTGTTCTTCCCCTTCCTGGCGCCCAGGCCGCGCCTGGCGGGCATGCAGCGCTCGGCGGCGGCGGCGGCGGCGGCGGCCAAGGAGGCGTGACGCCTCGCCACCCGCCGTGCAGCGACGCCAGGCACCTAGGCGCCAGGCCTGCTCTCTCCTTTCATTCAATAACATGATTCCATTCTTTGAGTGGCCGCACCTTATCTCCTTATCTTGGAGCCAAGTGGCTCACAACCGTGTGACCCCTGGCTTGGAGCGTTTCCTCCTCTTGGTGATGCAGTCGTCTCACTCTTACCTCTAGCTGCAGCCCCCTGCTCCTAAATCCCAAGTGCAAGCAGACCTACACAATGCAGCTCTCGTGCACCGGCTGGTACCAATGTCTTCACTGTTGCCGCAGTCTGCTCAGGCGGCACTGAAATTTTGGTCTGCGCCAGGCGATGCAGCGGCATCCAGCCGCAGCCGTCAGTAGCGGTGGCAGCTTGCCCAGCGGCTGACAGATGCAACGTCTTGGTGGTGGTGGGCAGGAGGGTGCAGACAGCCCCCCAAACAGGCGCCAGCCATCAGGGCCACGCACAGCGCACTGGCCAGCACGGCGCGCACGAGGTCGGCATCGGCGGCAGAGCGCAGGCGGTGAATTGTGAAGGGCTCCCCGCCGCTGTGCCCGCACTGGACCTGCAGGCAGCGGCGGGGTGGCCCAGCAGCAGCGTGGCGCAGGGCTCCTGGGGCTGGCAGTGGCAGCTCATTACCACTCGTCATGCCTATTCGTGCGCACCTGGAAGGTCTGGGCCGCCAGCGACTGAGCCCTGCTGGCCTCTGGCTACCTCCCGCTTCTCTCCTGGCAAAGCCTTGTGATCGACATGGCACCAGCAGGAACAATGACCTCCCTTTCAATGGCAGAGCCTCTCTGCTGCCCCTCACCCGACCCCCGACATTCCGCCCTGGGCCCACACGACGCCCTGCTCGCAAATGGAGAGCCATGCGCAAGGAGAAGAGCAAGGTGGGTGCTGTCAGATTGCCAAGGACGGGCACGAGGGCACAGGGCCCCGCCGACCGTCAGGGCGTCGGTGACGGCAGCCCTCGCAGCGAGCAGTGGGTCTGGACAGGGACAGGCAATTCGTGCCTTGGTGCGGCCCCCTGTTCTGCACCATCGGCTGTGCGCAACGGGATCGTCTGGTGCACTGGGTGGTGTGGTGGGCATCTCCAATGAGCTAAGGGCAGTACCAATTGGCCGCCCACGCTAGAAAACCCTAACCCGCAAGCGGGTGCTCGTCGCAAGGCCCCTGCTGGGAGAAGCGTGTCATTGCTTTGGCATTGCCCTCCTGAAAGTGGCTGCCTCGCCACTGCATCCCAGCGCTGCAGCAGCCGGAACCGGCCTGCCACATCTGGGCAGCACTTCACGCCTCCTGATCGAGAACCTCTTGCTGAGCGGCCTCCTCCATCTCCAAGCAGCCGCGACCTGCCGGCCTGCTGTGGGGCAGCCTGCGCCGTGTTTTGGCGGACACACCTGATACCTCAACCATGCTGGAGGTCTCCATCGCCCCATGGGGTTGCCCCACAGCAGTTGGATGTACCACAAGCACGCACTGCGCCTGTGCCTTGCACAGGGGTGTGCAGCGGCGGCAGCGGCGGCCACCCTCAGGTGCGCTTCGTCGCCCCCCTGCTGCCCCCCGCGGCCAGGCCGCGGGTCCATCTGGCCATTATGCTTACCTGGACGCGGTTCGCACACACGGTGCGCAACGCGGTCGGTCGGCGGCGGGGGAAGCGGGCACCCCTTGCCTGGTCAGGGCGCCAGCCAGGCCTCCCCGGGGCCCGCCGCCCGGTGGAACCGATCTGTGATGGCATGTTGTGGCCCATACACCGCTTTCGCGTTCAAAACAACGCTGTGGATGGGGCAAAAGATGGTGGTGCAGTTGCCCGGAAGCTGCCTGCCGCCTTGCCTGGTGGCGACGGGAAGGCCCCGTTCGTGGCGTGCGACACGGCGCACCACGCGGAGATGGTCCGGACAGCTGGCGCGTAAAGGTAAAGGTGGGGAAGAGCCTCTACAAGCTTCACTTCCCGGTTTTAACGTCTAGCTTTAGACCATTATTTGATCTGCCCGACGCGCCAAGTGCAGTACCCCCCACTAGTAGTGAATGGGTCCCGGGGAGGCCTGTGCCGAAGCCTTGGCGATTCTATTAGGCGTTCCCGAAGGAATTGGCTTGGATTGGCGCTGAGCCGGTCAGCTATGCCGCGTTTGTCCTCACAAAGTTTCGACATGGGAGGAATCGAACCTGTGCCCTCTCGGAGGGTTTAGACACTAGCGTGCCAGTCATGTATATAAGCCGCCCGCCGATGCAGGTCGAGGCATTCCAGTCCCCTGCTGCCGGCGCCCTCCACGCTGCCACCGCCCTCCCCACCCACCTGACCCTGCTGGATACAAGCCTGCCCTCTCCCAACACCCCCAACACCCCCCAATCCTCTAAGGTGAGTGACATACATCGTTTGTGGGCAGGCAGCAATGGGCTAGCGCAGTAGGTTTGTGGATGGGCAGCAGCAATGGGGCCAGCGCTGAGGGGGCGTAGGCTCAGCTGCCATTCCAGCTTCTGACCACCCACGCCAGCCCTGCTGGGCCCTCTTGACCTGCTGCAGCCCTCCAGCAGCCAACCCCAGGAGACGCCATGGCCCCCGCCAATCCCAGCCGGCTGCCCCAGGTGCTGCTGCTGGCCGCCGTCGGGCTGGCTCTGATGGCGGCCTCCGCCGCCGCCGATGACGCCGTGGCGGCCTCCACTGCTGGCCAGGACCCCTGGCGCAAGGGCGAGACCTGGCCCACCTTCAAGGGACCCCGCGGCAAAGACAAGCGCCCCATCTTCTCCTCCTTCAAGGTGAGGAGCAGGCTGGAGGGGCTGGGGGCGACTCGGCCTTGCCCTTCCTGCCGCTGCCCTCCTGCTCCCTGCCTCTCCTGCTCACCTTCCCTCCCCTCCCGCCGCCGCAGGAGTATTCCGCGTTCTGCGACAAGACCTGGCCCGACCCCAACACCCCCGCTGGCTGCAAGCCACCCAAGGGATCCGGCCTCAAGGTCAGCTGCAGCGCTGAGCGTGGCTGCCTGCGCCGTGCCTCAGCAACAACAACAACAAGGCAGCACCGCCGCTGGCTGCCAAAAAATGTCTACCCCCGACCAGATGCCTGCCTGGCTGCGATGCACGGCGCTGACCCTCCCCACCCTCCACACGCCTCACCTGCGCTCCCGCAGTTCAACCCCAAGCGCATGCCCAAGGGCGTGCTGCCCTACGGCGCCTGCACCGGCAGGCCTCTGGACCACAAGGAGCACACCATCAACAAGGACGCCAACGCCACCCGCCCCGCCAAGCCCGTGCCGCCGCCTAAGAAGTACCAGCCCGCCAAGTGTGAGTGCGTGCCGCACGTTGGGCTGGCCTGGCCCGCTGCTGCAGCCGGGGCGTGCTGCTGTGCTGCCTGCCCAGCTCTCTGCACCGCGCACACATCTGCCCTGCACGCTGCTCCTCTCTGAAACCTCCCACACCGCCCCCGCTGCCCCGCTGCCGCAGCCTCCGGCAACCAGGGCAAGCCCTGGGGCTATGGCAAGCCCGCCGGCCGTCGCCTGCTGAGCGGCGAGGAGGGCGCGACCGTCATGCGTGCCGCGCACGTGCGTGCCACTCGCACCCACCGTCGCCTGCACCAGGCCGGCGGCGGCGCCGACCAGTGCCCGGGCCTGCAGTGCGTCACCAACATCCCCAGCCTCGCCCTCGACTTCTCCCTGCCCCTGGACTTGCCCGACGGCTCCACCCTGGACCTGGGAGAGGTGATCGACCCCTCCACCATCGTCAACGACTTCCTGGCACTCACCGGCGGCGCCCTCTGCGACCTCTCCTTCTCTGGCGCCGACATCGCCAGCGGCGCCTGGCTGGCCCAGCTGATCGGCCGCTCCAACTCCTCGCTGGCACAGAAGGCCGGCTCCCTGGTGCCGCTGTTCAAGTGAGCGCGGCGGCCCTGCCTGTGGCTGCGCTGCGCCCGCTGCCTTGAGCTGGTGGTGCCGCTGCGGCCGCTGGTACTGCTTGCAGAGCTGCTGCTACTGCTGCTGCTGCCAGCCGCTGCCGCTGCTCACCTCACTCACCCCGCCTCGCCCC